TTTGTTGAGTTTTATTATGAAGGATGTAATTTTGTCAAATGCTTTTTCTGCATTTTTTGAGGTGATCATATGTTTACACCTAATTTTGTGATGTATCTTGGATTTATCTGCAGATTTTGTCCATCCTTGCATCCCTGGAATAAATTTAGTTTGATCATAGCCTGTGGTTGTTTTAATATTCCTTCCTTCCTTCATGCCTCCCACCCCATCTTTTTATTTTTTATTTCATGGTGTACTTGTTTGCTGCCTCATAAAATGAGTTTGGAAGTGCTCCCCAAAAAAGTGCTCTCTCTCTCTCTCGTAAGAGCTTGAGAATGATTGGTATTAATTCTCCTTTAAATGTTTGGTAGAATTCACTAGTGAAGACACATGATCCTAGATTTTCTTTGTTGTGATGTTTTTCAATACTGATTCAGTCCCCTTAATATTAATTGGTCTGTTTAGATTTTCTATTTCTTCAAGATTCATTCTTGTAAGTTATATGTTCTTAGAAATTTATCCATTTCTTCTAAGTTGTCCAATTTGTTAGCATATAATTATTTATAGTTTCTTACAATTTTTTGGATCTCTGTGGCATTACTTGTTATGTTGTCCCTTCTTTAAATATAATTTTATTAGTGTTCTCTAGCTTTTTCTTGGTAAGTATAGCTAAAAGTTCACCTAATTTGTTCATCTTTTCTTAAAAAAATAGTTTAACTGATATTTTCTGTTGCCCTTGAAGGGCATATTCATCTGTTGCTACTCAGATATTTGTCATTTTCTTCTTTCTACTAACTTAGCATTTGATTTCTAATTCTTTTTCTAGATCTTTATGGTGTATAATTAGGCTGTTTAAGTGAGCACTTTATTTTCACTATAAACTATTTTATCCTAATTTTTTTTGCTATATCCTAAATTTTTGCATGTTCTATTTTCATTTATGTCAAGTTGGTGTCTTTCTTTTGACTTCTTATTTGAGCCATTTGTTATTCAGAAACATTGTTTTATTGCCACATAATTTTGAATTTTCCAAATTTCCTTTTGTAATTTACTTCTTGTTTTATGGCATGGTGATCAGAAAAAGTGCTTGATATGATTATATTTTCTTTAATTTATTGTTTTGTTTTGTGTCCTAATATGTGATCTATCCTGGAACATGCTACATGTGAGCTGGAGAAGATTATGTATTCTGCTGCTATTGAATGGAATAGTCTATACATCTGATAGAGACACCTGGTCTAATGTATAGTTTAAGCCCAAT